GCAAATAACAGGAAAAACCTAAAGTACTTTGTCAACTAGCTGATTCCACAGATTTAAAGTAAACATAATTACTAAAAATCTAAAAAGATTGGAATGTTGATTTTGTATTTAAATCAAGAAGTGAAGTAACAAAGGTTTATTAAAGAAAATATATTTTTAACTGGAAACATGATGCAGTCAGTATTAGTGAGACATAAAATTTAAAACGATAAGCTTATTTCGAGCTTTAAGAAATATTTCATGCTACATATACTGAAACTAGCTCCAAGGGACTACTTTTGTAACTTGATATGAATTGGTTGTACAGTATAGATATTCTGATGTGATTATATATGTGTATTTAAGAGGCTAAAAAAATGCTCAAAAAATTAATTTTGATTATGATATTGCATCATTGATCAAAATGTACTAAATATAAATTCTTCACCTAAAAATTAAAATAAAATTAAATGAGGATAAAAATTCTTTTAACATGAAAATTTACATTAACAAATTAAAATACTCTGAGAACAACTCGTATGCAAAATTTACTCTAATGAAAATGTATGTTTAAACATTTAAATTCAATGTGAAATAACTATCTTAAGTTTAATATATTACATTTGGAAATAAAATATGATTTAGAATATAATATTTGAAAAGACATGAAATACAGTATTTAAACCAAAGTTCTGAAGACATTTCGATTTTAAAATAGAAAGACTTGAATAATTTTACTCTTTAAAAAGTGATATGATCAAGGTATGCTACATTATAGCTAAAGGAAAGTTTTGACATTTCCATTTTAAAATAGAAATACTTGAATAGTTTCACTCCATAAAAAGTGATGTGATCAAGGTATGCTACATTATAGCTAAAGGAAAGTTTTGACATTTCCATTTTATAATAGAAAAAAATACTTGAATAGTTTCACTCCATAAAAAGTGATGTGATCAAGGTATACTACATTGTAGCTAAAGGAATGTTTTAATGATATTTACATTTTGATTTGAAAATCGAATGAAATATTTGTAGGATTGTACCAGAGGAATGTAGGTGGCATTTCATCAAGAACATTATTTCCGTTTAAATTACATTTAGCTAACTTTTGGGGTTAGGAATGGCATTGGAAATGGATTGTAAATTGGGACTCTTGTCTAGCTACTACAAAAAACATGCTTTGGACTTTGGAGGCATGGATATTCCATTAGAGTGATGGTCAAATTTTACTTTTAAGTAAGAGATGGTTGTAGGTGATGCTGCCTTCCCTGTAGTCTGTCAGTAGGGATGATTACGCGCAAGTAGCCTTTTGTGTAGCTTTCAACAAAAATTCTGAAACATGCTAATTTTTTACTTACAAATTCAGTATTTTCTCTTTGTGTGCATAACTGCAGAAGTCTTTCCAAGTATAATTCAAGGTATCTTCCAAATATAAATTGCTTTAACAATTTTTTTTTATGTCAATATAATTGTATAGTATCAAGAACTACATTACTCCAGTTTTGTGTTTGTTTAGATGTGCTTTTATGTTATTAAATGAATGATGCATATTATATTTGTAACAGATGCAATAGTAAGTAGTCATTTAGAGAAATGAAACATAATATCAGGAAACAAATGTGTGTGTGTGTGTGTGTGTGAAATACACAGATATTATCGGAGTAGAAGTTTTAAAGTTGTAAGTAATGTACAATTTGAGTGAAACAAACTATAAAGAAAATGTGAAATGCATGTTTTATCCTTGAATGCAAGCAATCTTATGTTATGAGCTATTATCATTATTATCTATTATTTATTTTAAGAAAGCGCTTTAGATACATCAGAGTTAAAACCTAACAGCTGAATGTTTTAGAATGTAAGCCTTCCTTTGTCACAGTAAAATTCCTCAGTACACCCTCAGTTACATAATATTTACTTTTCTAAAGAGCTTTGCATATTTCATTTCAAAAATTAATCTAGTCATAAGTTAATAAAAAACCGTTTTTGGAATAAAATATTATTACAAAGGCTAGGAAACTAGTTTTGACACTTTTGTATCCTCTTCAGTCCTACAGAGTCATCTGAGAAGACATTTGCCCTCACAGCTTATGTGATGCCTATAGGATTGAAAAGGGTTGAAACAAGTTTCTTAGTCTTTGTACTAATATTTTGTTCCAAAAGTATGTTTTAAACTACCAATCCAATTATATTTCTTTCCCTCCCAGAAGAAACTACAGAAGAGATTGTTGACCTGCATGGAAATACCATTATTGGTGGTGTTTTCCATGTTGATCTTCTTCAGCTACCAGCCCAGCCTGTCAAGACAAAATACTGGCTTTTAACTCAAGGTACTTGAATCAGTGTAATCACTTGAGAATATGTCAGACTTAGGTATTGTAATGTTGGACAGGTCTTCTTAGATTACCAGCAATGGTTATGGTGGTCTTTTGAATGTAATATTATTAAATGCATTAAAAAAAAATATCTGGATGGTATAATGTTTTATGCAATCAGTTGTATATATTTATACGCGTATGTCACTGTAAAAGTAAAGTAACTATTCCTTTCAGTTATCAATCAATACATGCTGTTTGGAACAAAAAAAGTCTTTAATTCTTGTAATGAAAAATAAAAATAAATGAGTGTCATTTAAACTTGTTAATATGTGAACATTTGTGCCTGAGGTTTGACTTTGTAATGGTCTAAACAAACTGCTACTACAACCAGGGTCAAATAAATACAATTTATTAAATATAACAATAGAAATAAAAACTTTAAAACAACTAGAAAACAAACTTTACAACTTACAAAAAAAAATAGTAAATACATTCCTGTTCAGGACAAGGTACAACCATTAATAAACAATACAACATAAATCTCAATGTGATTAATTTAAATAAATATCAAAGAAATTATGAAAAGGAACAAGAAAAATAAAAAATCTTATTCACCAGAGAATAACACAATGTATCAAAATTAAACTACTTTTCAGTATCAAGAACAATATTGAACAAAAATTAGCAATAATTCTTTCTAACTATATCTCGTGAAGTTACCCATTTTCAAGATCAAGGAAGGCTATTGAACCTCATGGTTAGACCATGAGGTTTAAATCTCATGTGACTAGCTATTACCATAAATCTACATAATCATCTGTATGTCACCACTAGGGGAAGCTTGTGTCAGTTTCATAATACAGTGAAACCCAGATTTTATGTGCCCCAATTTAACACAAATTCGTATATAACGCGATGGGTCATTAACTCCTTCGACACAGGCTCAGTCCGTGGGACCGACCTCGTAGCCATAACCGCGTTATAGTTTACATACTAATAACTTTT